GATATGAGAGTAACTTTAGGAAACTGCCATGGAGGGATAGCTTCTAGAGCTGCCTGCCCCCCTCCAGCTCTGCATTTTTGACCAGGTCACATCCCCTCTCTGGGCTTCAATTTGAGTGCAAATCATAAGCATCTGGAAATACCAATCTTTCTGCAATAAGGGATGTCTCAACAAATGGGCAGTATTTCAGTTGAGTTTTTTTCTTCTGAATTTTGGTTAATCTATCAAAGTTTATTTAAGCTTGCTCTCTTTCCTAAAAATAAAAAAAGTATCTTCTCTAGAAAGAATTTCACGTTCAATTATGAGTTAAGGGAAGACATTGGCTTTAAAATGAAATCCCAAAATTTTATCTTAAAATATTACGTCTCAATAACTCTATAGGAGAAACAGAAAATTTCAAATTAAGCAGTCTCTTTATTGGCCAAATCCTGTATTGCTTTCGAGTAAGTAAACAATCTGAAGTTCTATAGCCAAGTGATGAGATATTAAAGTTAGTGGTTCATCTTTGTGTTCCTAGTATTCAGTTATGAGTATGTCCCACTGTCGATGCTAGACAAATAGTCAATGGATGGATGATATGCCACATGAATGAATGTTCCACATTATAGTAACTAGTCTAATAACAACTGTAAATTCACCTCCCACCGATGGGAGGTTAAAAGAAATTTTTTTTAGAACATTGCTATTGAAACATCTTTGGTACCCAAAGGTATATATACAGTGGGGCCTTGACTTACGAGTTTAATTCGTTCCGAGACCGAGCTCGTTAACTCAAATTACTCTATCAACTCAATGCAAAAAATCAGCCGAGAGACAGCTGGTATCTCAAAAAACTCGTTAGTCGGGACACTCGTAAGTCAAGGCCCCACTGTACAAAGATTCATACAGAGTAAGTTTAGTATGTTATTGCAACTTCTCTTCCTTTGAGAATTGTTCAGAATTAGGAATCATCCACCTTTGTCTTCTTTTAGTCACTTCTCCCTAAGATGGACACTAGTCCACTAGTTACGTGTTTGAAATGGGTTTATGAGAATATACTGATTTTTTTTGTAAGGGATCAGAAGGTGTGCGAGTGACTTCCCTTTCTTGATATTTGCAGGGTCCATAATTATGCAATTTGGAGTTTTCAGAAAAAAAAACACAAATTCAAAGTCTGAGTAATTTCCAACAAGAGTGAAAAATCTCAAAAATTCAAAATTTTAAAAACATAGTAATAGCTTTGGCCGGTGTGGCTCAGTTGGTTAAGCATCATCCTGTGCACCAAGGGTCCTGGGTTCAATTCCCAGTTAGGGCGCATGCCCAGGTTTTGGGTTGGGTCCCTGGTCGGGGTTTGTGTGGAAGGTAACCAACCTATCGATGTTTCCTTCTCTCTCTCTAAAATCAATAAAAACATATTTGAAAAAAACAAAATAACAAACACACTCCAATTGTAAAGACTATATTGAATTGCAAAAAAACAACAACACAGGAGTTTTATATAGGCAGGAAAATACCAAGTTCAAAAGGTGTGTCACAATACGGTCCAATGTTTAAGAATTAAATAATGAAGACTTCTGAAAAAGACACATTCTCTACTCACCTACTCTTTATTTTCCTAAAATCATCAGCTTGAACAGTTTTCCAGCTGGGATTTAGAAAGTGGGATTATAAACTGGATTTTTTTTTTGGGGGGGGGTATAATTTTCAGGAAGCAAAGCGTTTCCTTTTTTATATGATAGACTCTAAGAATTGAATCAATAACATCGGGACACCTAAACACTCTTGTTTCAGTTTAAATTCTTTTTAATATAGCCTCAGGACCTACTCTTTCTTCTTCCCATGATTCCTTCCTGCAGGTGATAGAAGCCGCCTTTCTCTCCATAAACAGTTTTCTTTAAGAGATTTGGGTGTCTTCCTTTCCTAAACCTCTAAAAATCAAAATGATTTATAGACTATCTCTATCCTGCTAGAGTTGGGCAAGTAAGTGGATCATATTTGCATGGGTCACTCTGATTATAGGACTTCACTGTTTCTTGAACTAAAATTTCAAGATTTATTATTCTATTAATGCTCATAAAGTCACTCTTTTGATGAGCCATAATTTCCCTTAATGAGGAGTCTGTATGCCACTCACCCATGATAAGGGAGAAGTAAGTCCAGACTTCCAACATATTCATATTTCCTGGGTCATTAATAGAGTCTTGAAATCCCATATGACTCCAGGGGTTAATGGCCTAGGGTACAGTAACAAAGGTAAATTTCACCCAGTCAACTTGTCCCCATGAGACTTCCCTCACCTTGTTGGCTGTGTACAAAAATCTAAGCTTTTCCATTTTAATTTAAAAATTTAGAAATTAACCCTCCTGGTGGAGAAGATAACCCACCAAGGAGGCTTGCATTATCTCTGTGAATATTCTTAGGGAATGAAATAGCAGGAGGTGTGAACTTTCTTCTGTTTATCTTAATGGTCCGCTAATGGCAAAGCATAATTACAGTTACTTAAGTGCCAAGTTTATCAAGATTTTCACTAACATCTCCAGCCACCGCGCTTTCCTGGACTGACCCAGCTTTTATTTACCCAATCGCTTTACCATCATTTGAAAGAAAACTGCCCTCCATAAAAACAAGCAAGCAAACAAAAGCCCACTCCGCAGCCGGGTTTAATTTCTTTCAATTATTTTACTTGGGCAGTTAAGACACTTGTGACTCCAAAAAAAAAGTCGAAAAAATATATATATATATGGGATCAGTAACTGAAATTTTAGCCTTCCCACCTTCAAAAAGCAGGGCTATGCGGGAGTTTTGTAGTAGTTTGCTTCATGGCTTTGGGAAATCAATTTGCTTCTAAACCAGAAGGTGGTCTTCCCAAGACCATCCTATATTTGGGATGGAAACTTAGGCATTGTACCTTCCCCCCAGGGCACCCACATGAGCAGCCCGAGAGCCACCTATCTCCCCATCGGTCTCCGGATCTCCTCGCTGCCTTTGTCCCTTCAAGACGTGGAGGCTTGGAGAGGAGGTTTGGTTTCCAAGGATTGGAGCGTTTGAAGGGCGGGGCCATCTCCAAGTCCATCTCCCCTTTTTTGTCCTCTCCTCCTGGGACGGGAGGGAGGAGCCAGGTCCCCCCGCGGCCGGGCCGGGTCGGGAGCTCTCTATTTCGGTCGCTCGAGGTGAGTGTGAAAGGGCGGCAGCCCGTTTCATTGCAGCGCAGGTTAATTTCTGGAGTTCACCGCGGTCAGTGCGCCCGCCGCTTCCCGGGGCTTTGCCAAGAGGGTTTATGAGGTCGGAGGCGTGTTGGGGCGCGCTCACGTTTTCGCGAAAGGCTCCTCCCCAGGGTTCATTCCCCGACTGCGGGAAGTCCTCCGGTGCCCCGGGAGCCTCGGGTTTCCTCTGACCTCGCCGCTTCTTCCTCCCTCCCCTACGCTTGGTTCCCTGCCACCCCGCCCCCCGCCCCTGGGGAAGGGCGGCCCCCATCTTAGGATTTCCGACCCAAGCCAACCCAAAAGGTACCTCCACGTCGATGAAGATTTTTATCACCACCTCCCAAACCCAGCAGTCCTAGGAGCTTTCAACCTGAAATACGATTGTTATTTTTTCCCGTGCCGGGCTTTGACAGAAAAAAGTCAGCTTTTTATTAAAGACAAAGAAGTAAATTATCAGCCGGGGCACTGAAAGGGACGGCGGAGACCTGGCGCGTTTCTTCTCGCGGCCACGAGGAATTTATGGGGGAGCGGCGGCCGGCGCTCAGACACCCCTGGGGTCCCGCGGGGGAGGAGCTCGGGACCGAAGGGCTTCCCCAAGTCCCCGCAGGCACCTGGAGGGAGAGTCCTCCCAGGTCTGCACAAAGCCGGGATCCTCTCAGCCCTGAACAGCCTCGCCGTCCTCCGCTCTCCTTTCTTTCCTCTTCTCTTTCTTTCGACTCCCGTCTCCCTCTCGCCTCGGCGCTTTCTCCTCCCGGTTCCCCTCACCTACTTTTTCCCTGGCCTCTCCTCCCCCTTCCCCCTCCTTTCTTCTCCACCGCACGCGTAGAGTGTCATTTATTTATTTATTTATCACCCCCGCCATCAACACCCTTTTAGGGCTTCCAAGCTTTTCAATGCGAGTGGGAGGAGAAAAGGGCAGGAAGTGTTGACTCGGAGGGGGGTGAAATCGTGCCTCTGGGTGAGAGCTTCTGCCCCAGAATAAACGATGGGGGAATGTCTAGGAAAAGGAGGATTCAGATCTGTTTATGAAACCCCGCTTTCCGACAGCGAGCAACTCCGCGCGCGTCTCCTCCTCCTCCCCCTTTATTGTATGGGTTTATGGATACATCTTCCTGGACTGTTGTGTGGAAGGGGGAGGAGTGAGTATTTAAAGACGGCAATCTCGCCCTGGATCCTCACCGCCGCGCCTTCTCCACCGGATGCGCGCTCCCCAATGCGAAGGAATCCAGCAACGTCCCCCAGTTCAGCCGCGGACAAAAGAAACTTTAATTAAGGTCTCTGCCCCGCGCGCTGCGTGTTTTCTCTCTGTCCCCCAGGCTGTTGATGTCCAACTCGAGAATGCGAGAAATAGAAATGGCACAACCAGCCCATGCCCTTGAACTTCAATTGCTCCTGACTTGCTGTATTGATTTTTATACTGTAGGCTTTTTTTTTTTAAAGCCGTAGGAGATGCCCCACCTGGTTGGGGGTGGGGACCCACTCCTTTGCAAAAGGGATAGGTCAGAATGATTTGGGGAAAATTACACCACATAAAAAAATCAAGGTGTGAAAGCTTCCTTCTTGGCTCTCTTGTCTTCAACACCACGACACCTTATCATTAGGAGCGCTGATTGTTACTTTCCGAGCCTTAGATGATCGGCCAGAAAGTGCAAACAACGCGGGGCTGGAGGGTGTAAAGTTATTTAAGTAGGCTTTTTTTTTTTCTTTTGGTGCGCCGTCAAAACATTTCACAAGTTAGGGAAAGAAAGTGGTGGTTCCGAGGCTTGGAATGATAGGTTCTCTCCCTTCCCCATCCCCCTTTCCATATCAAAAAAGAAATAAAATGCACAATGAGCCTTTATTTCGGGGGAGAAGTCTTCAAAATACGTGCCAGTAATGGACAATTTGAGCTTTTCACTGGAGATACACCGCAAGCTGGAAAGGGATTAAAAAGCCCCACGTGGTTGATCTGGATTTAGACTTGCAACCTCTAGTTCCCCATGTCTGTTCTGTGCAAAGATTGGCCTCTAGATGGATGCGTGTGAGGGTCTCTCTGGGCCCTGGGTTCGGCCTCTGGGGCAGGGCTGATGGTGGGAACCTGGGGAGCCACGGGACAGGGTCCTCACGGGGGGCTTCCTCTGCTGGCCGGGCGGCCGGGCGCCTTCGGGACGCGAGCGCGCACGTCTCAGCCTGGCCGCCGCGCTCCTCGCACCGCCTTCTCCGCAGGTCTTTATTCATCTCATCTCCCTCTTCCCCTTCTCCTCCTCCTTTGCCTCCTTCTCCTCCTCTTCCTCCTCCTCCTCTACCACCACCACCACCACCTCCTTCTCCGCCGCCGCCACCTCCTCCTCTTGCATCTCACTGGCCTGGCTCGGTGTTGCTCTAAGTGACAAAGACAATGTCCCAGCCTTAACTTTGCAACCACCTTGCCTCCTTCTGGGGTTCAGCAGAGGGGAGGGGGACAGCAGCCGCAGCCTCAGCATCTCCTCCAGCTTCTCCTTCTGCTCTTCTCCAGCTCTTGGATAAAATTCTTCCCTTTTATGCCCCCTGCCCATTTCCTCGTTTCTTTCTTTCTTTCTCTTTTCTTCCTCTCTCCTGCGCGGTGTTGTTATTAGAAAGGCTTCGCGCACCCCCTGGTGCTCCGGCGTTTTGTGTGGCAGGAGAAGATTGTCTTCCTTCTCTCTTTCTGTCTTGCTTTCTCTCTCCCTCTGGTTGCTCATTATTCAGAGAGAGACACAGAGGGAGGGAGAGAGAGGGAGCGCGCGCGAGAGGGAGGAGAGGAGAGAGAAGAGGAGAGGGGAGAGAGAGTGAGAGGGAGAGGGAGGGAGGGAGGGAGGGAGAGGGAGAGAGAGACGGATATCTCAGGTCATCTGCAGCTGCAGAGTCTGAGGAGCCGAGGAAGGCAGGGAAGATGGCGATCCTCCATTGCTGAGACCCGGCAGAAGCACATGAGACTCCCAAACAACTTCCACAACAATAACCCGAGCAGGAAGAGGAGAAAGAGAAAGAGGATAAGGAGGCGGTGGGGCCGGAGAACCCGAAACACCTCCCGGCGCCGGGACGCTTCTTCTGTAAGTTATTGCAATTAACCGACACCTCGGGGTGGTCCGGGTGCTCCCGGGAGGAGAGCGCGGGGTGGTGGACGCACAAACGCGCTCATTCATTCGGCCGAGGAGGGTTGGTGGAGCGGGAGGAGAGGAAGTCCCCTGCATGGACTGGCAGTTGGGAGAGAAGAAGCAAGAGAGAGAGAAGAGGAGGAGGGGGAGGAGGGAGAGTGAGAGGGGGAGGAGGAAGAGGAGGAGGAGAAGCGAGGGAGGAAGAGGAGGAGGAAGAGGTGGAGAAGGTGGTGGTGGTGGTGGCAGTGGCAGCGAGGTGGCTGTGCTTTTCCTGCTGGCTGCTCTTCTGCTGGGGGCAGCGGAGCGCTGTGGCTTAATTAATTTCGTGTAGTTCTATGGAGAGAAGAGAAAATGAAAGATGAGTGAGAAGAGAGCTGGAGGCTTAGGACCGATGCTCCGAGCGTGGGGACAGGAGTAGGGACAGAGAGGGGGGTGGAGAGCGGGAGGCGACCTCAGCCAAGAGCCAGAGGGAGCTAGCAAGGGGCAGAGGAGGGAGCGCTCCGAGCCGCCCCGACCTGAGCCGGTTGACCTCTTTCTTTCTCTGTCCCCCTCCTTCCTTGCCCCCTCTCTGTCTGCCTGTCCCCAGCCCGATGGCAAACCCGTGCGGATTGGCACCCCCCCTCTTCCTCAGGTATTTGGCTCTCTCTCTCTCTGTCTCCGAAGTTGGGATGCGGGGTCGGGATGTGTCCGGGGGGGTGGCTGCTGCTGCTGCTGCTGGTGCTGCTGGTGAGGACAGAGGCCAGGAGCGGGGGGCACCGGCCGGGTGGGGGGCGCAGGTCCAGGAGCAGCTGAGGAGCTATCTCCAGGCTGGGGGTTCAGAAGCGTCTGGTGGAAGAGGACAACGGTTTCAGGAGAGGAGAAGCCATTACATACGCTTGGCTCTCCTGGGGAAGGGAGAAAAGAAAGCAGGGGCCTGGGGGTCTTCTCACTCCTGGTGCAGTTCCCAGGGGTCTGCCCTCCTTCCAGGCATGAGGGGAAGCCACAGCCGCCCCCCCATTGGAACAGCCCCTCTCTTTCCCTTTCTTTATCTCCCTTGTCCTCCATTTGCAAGCTGTCTGCTTTGGTTCCAGTCCAGACTCCAAAACACAAAGCTCCTTCTCACGTTCATTCTCCAGGCTTTTCACCATTCCTGAAGGAACCCTCATTTTCTTTTCATTGTAGCTTCTAACCTACAGGGAGGGAGGGAGGCTGCCTGGAGTTCCTTTCATATTCCTCCCCTACCAAAAAAAAAAAAAGTTTCATTTTTAAGCACGCGCCTGGGATGGGAAAAGACCAACCAGTTGGGGCTTTCTCCCAGGGTTGGGGGGCGGGGGGAGCCGTGCCTGAGTGTCTGTGTTGGCTGTTTGGTTTGCTTTGGTTTTGTTTCTGGAGGTGGCTTGCAGGTTTTGGAGGAAGTGACTAGTTTGGTTGAGAGCTGGGAACTGAGTCAGGTAAGCCCTGTCATGTTGTAACTCCACCAGAAAATGGAGGAGAGCGAGTTTCCAGGAGACAAAGCTGAGATGAGAAGTGTTTATAGAATTATGGATGTTTCCATTTTGAAGCTCTGTTGGTGATGGCTGGAGGAGGAGGCTTGCCTGCCTACTCCTTCTCCCTTTCCTGGGGGAAGTCTTGTGGTGGTTCCTCACTGTCTATTCATTATACAAGGAAATGAGGGGCTTTTAAGGGCTGCTCAGATTTTTCTCCCACCAAAGGAGTGCTTTCACAAGTGATGGAGATGTTTGTTTCCATTTTAAAGTAAACTTTTGGATTTTTTTTTTTCACCTTTTGAGTGGACCTGAAGGGTTTTGACCTCCTTCAGGAAAGGCAAGGCAAAATCTTAAACATTTTCCACTGAGGTCCTCACACAACTTTCAGCTGCTGCAGGTCTCCTGAAAGTCGCCAGGAAATGGTGACTTTCCTCATTGTGAAGACGGTGGTGCCCTCCGCTGAGATTCTGGAGTTCTGGGCTTGGCTATCATCATGTTTTGATTCATTGCAAGACTTTATTGTCTGGTTTGGGTTGATCTCTGGGGAAAAACACAACAAAACAAAATAAAAACCAACAACAAATCCTACAAGATCTCAGAGGAAGTCTTACTGACACCAGTTTCTCCAGGGTCTACATCTCTCTTCAGGTTGTTCCATGTGTGTGTTAGGCCTTCTTTTAGTTCCTTTGTTTTCTCCCTTCCCTTCCATCCTGCTGGGTTTTTTCTGTGTTCTCAAGTACTGTGAGTCTCCACAAATATCAAATGTCTTCTTAACAGTGTCACTATGGAAACAAATTTTTTTTTTTAAAGATTATGTCAGTTGAGAAAACCTATGTCTAGGTCTCTTCACCTTTTTGATGGGGAGGAATTTATTAGTCTTCTAGGAAGACATTTTGTGAGGATGATGTGAAGAAAGGATCCACCTCAGTCCACACACATTGATTGGAGTTCTTCACAGATTAGTTCTAGAGAATGTATGCAATTGATCCAAGTAAAGACCTAAATCCTGAAATGCTTGAGGATTTTATAAAAGCCAACCATGAAGATGTTGCTTTTCCATTAGGTAAGGTAGCCATCTTGAGGATGAGGGAAGATGTTGGAAGAATTTTAGATGGACTATTGAAGATAGGTGAGGAGGGCTCCACGGTGGAATGAAGACTTGGAGGAGATTCAGAACCAATTAATGTATTGTAAGGAAGCTGATTAGACCTTGTTTCAACTAAGGAGGAATACAGAAAGGTACCAGCTTCTACACAAACAAGGAGCACATTGGTGAGCGACTTATACCAGCTTTTTTCTTGCTTTGCTTTCTCATTATGTGTCGGATTTGTGTGTGTGTGTGTGTGTGTGTGTGTGTGAAGTTCCCTGTGTCTACAGTATTTTTGTGCATATTGAAGTGGTTTTAGATTCCAGATGCAATTATATTCTGTTGAGTAGCTGGTAGCAGTGTCATTCAGTGAATGCACAGTGCTGTATATGACAACATCACATTTTTCAAACCAAACTGTTGTGTCATTAATTGAGGGTTATTGTTCTTCTAAGGGGTGTGAAAGCAGAGGGGGAAACACATGGTTCTTTAGCTGGTAATTGTCCCTGGTCAATGAAGTAAATCCCTGATTTTTGCAGATGAAGATGTATGGTTTTCAATTAATGTGTATGCTCATTTAAAAATATTTCTCTTCAGACCTCTGCTTCTTTATTCCAAACCTAGGCCTCTCCAAGAGCACTTTAAAAATCTTACATGGAATCATACCTTTTATTACTCATTTTTGAATGTTATCTTTTGATGTCCATTGCTTTTGCTCTTAAGTGGAATGTCATCAGTGTTTTATTTAAATTTCGTAGTGCATGTTAAGATGCTGCATGCTCAAACTCAGAAGTTCAAATGCAATGGAATAAGGAGTTATTTGGGAAAGTAATTACCAGATAATTTTGCATCTAATTTACCAGATATGTTTATGTAAACATAAATACATTAAACATTGATCTTGAAGCAAACTTCCATAATATCTTTTTTTTTTGTTGAGGACAACTGCTTAATTACTTTTTTCAATGGGAGGAAAAATTTGACAAACTGGTTGCCAGTCCAGCAGTTTGACTTACCACATTTTTTTACTTTGCAACCAAATGTTTTCGTGTCTTTATAGACAGTCTTATAGAGATGAACTTTCTGGAAGGAAAGAATTAAGTGTCTAAGAGGCATTTTGGATTTTGAGAAAATGTTTTATAACTGTTTACCTAACAGACCCATCCCATCTCTGATTCCCTTCATCAGTATGGGAAGTACCATAATATTAAACACATGGTTTCTTGTGTTTGTCTAGACCAGCGGTTCTCAACCTGTGGGTCGCGACTCCTTTGGGGGTCGAACTACCCTTTCACAGGGGTCGCCTAAGACCATTGGAAAACACATATATAATTACATATTGTTTTTGTGATTAATCACTATGCTTTAATTGTGTTCAATTTGTAACAATGAAAATACATCCTGCATATTACGATTCATAACAGTAGCAAAATTACAGTTATGAAGTAGCAACAAAAATAATTTTATGGTGGGGGGTCACCACAACACGAGGAACTGTATTAAAGGGTCACGGCATTAGGAAGGTTGAGAACCACTGGTCTAGAATATACACTTGAGCTGAGACAAGTATCTTGGATAAACCATTGTGTGAGAATTAAAAAGAGTGTCAAGTTGAACATTCTCATTTGATGTCAAAGCTCAGAGATCCTTTTTTTTGAGACATCTAGTTGATGAAGCTCATTATGCAAATTTTTACCATAACTAATATATCATCAAGAAAAATCATTCTGAAGAAATACATGTGAGCTATGATACACACTGTCATTAAAAAAAGATTCTTGTTGGAACTTTGTAGTCCATAATATCGCTCATATTGGATTTATGTCCATCTGATTCATTGATCACATTCCCTGAGGACTTGTTTTTTCCCCCCCACTCTTTGGAGTTAGAGACAACTTTTAGATGCAAGATAAATACAATTTTTATATATAAACATATAAAATCTTTTTTTAAATTGTTTTATTGCTTAAAGTATTACAAAGAGTATTATATATGTCTCCTTTTTGTTTTCTCCCCTTGACCTTCCCCTAGCCTCCCATACCCCCAGTGTCTTGTGTCCATTGGTT